AAATTTTCATTCCAAAGCTTGATGATGATTATAATTATCTTTTTGCGCTAATTTTTTACAATCGTTTCTTATTTCTTACTTTATTTCGTATCCTCTCGTCGTCGCGTGTCCGATCATAATCAGCTTGTTCCACTTGAAACGCCGTGTCAAGCGTGTGTCCGATCAGATACTGAATTATTTCACTCGCACGAGTGTATACAGGGTGTCTCAAAAATATGAGAACATCTCATATGGGGACGTTAACTGGAGTTTGGTGAGATGATTTCGAGCAACATTTTCCTTTGCAAGAATTTTCGTTGCGGCTTTGTTAACGAGTTATTAACGAAAAACACTGACCAATCACGGAGCGCGTAGCCGTAGTCGAGCCGCGACGCTAGGGTTGGCTGTGTGCGACGACCGAGCGCGAACAAGTCCAAGCGACACATCTCGAAGAAAATTGAATGAAAATAAAAATTACATTATATCACGAATAATGAATAAATTATAACATTCAACGCACTTTTTTTTATTTCGAAGGTTACGAATTGATTGGTCAATTTTTTTTCGTTAATAATAAGTCGGTAACAAAGTTTTTGTAAAAGAAAATTTTTCTTGAAATTACTTTATAAATCTTCGGATGTTCCAACATTTTTTGGATACCCTGTATAATCAACTCGAGCTCGATTGGCTTTTATAAAAAGTTTTCCTTTTTTTCACTCAAATTCTTAATGTATTATTTTTCTAATAGTGGTTTAATCATTTTTCCATTATTAATTAAATTAATTAAATAGAAAGAAAGAATTTTTACTAGAAATTCACTAGAAAGGGAAAATTCACTAGAGAGGAAAAAAGCAGTGATCGAATAGAAAAATAATCGATTTGAATCATCGATTTGATTGATAATCGATTTTCGTTGGCAAATAGATAATAGGATAACATAAATATATTCAGAAATGTTTTGTTGCTTCTTGTGCATGTTAAAGAGAATTTAATAAAAAAAAAATTGATATTTTTTCGCGTTTTACGGATAAATTTGTAAATTTTCTATACCTACAAATTTTATAAATAGATTACGTGTGATAAAATTAATATTGGTGGTCGTGTATTAACACACAAAATTACACAATTTATACATGGTGTGAACATGATTATAGAAGCGGATAATGATAAAATTTATAATATTTGAATAAATGTTCCGCTATAATAGATTTCCCGAGATACATGATTATGTATATTTGATCATATCTTATGTAATTTCATTAAATATTGAAATTGAAATGTTATTCGATTGGTCGTAAAGCTTATTCTTTATTTGAGGTTATTAATCGTGCGTTTACTTTATAATTCAAAAATAATCGAAAAATAGATAGTTAACAAAAATTAAGAAACACAGAACGTTTGCATATTTCTTTTATTTTTTATTCCGTGTTTATACAAACATGTTATCGTTTTGTTGTTATCTTTTTATGATATAGTTCTAATCTATTCATCTCGTATAAAATAATAAAATATAAAGAAATATGTAAACCATAGATTTGTTTTTTAATTTTTCTCGGCAAGTATAGCAAATTGAAATTACTTTTAAAAATAACTTATTACTCGAATTAATGGAATTAAAATTCTATGCATTTTTAAAATCAATATATTTTAAAATTTTACATTATTCGTATTTTCACAAGTAAATTTTCACAGATTAATTCTATGGAATTAAGAAAATAATTTTCCCCGAATAAAAAATTTACTATATATTTCAATGTTTAAAAAAAATTCTATATTAAATTATCGATAATTACTTACAATAAAATTCTTTGCTCTAATTTCGATCATCTTGAATTACATTTTTTTCAACATTCTAAAATATTTTTTCGAAATATTCACAAAAAGTTATTGATAGTTCTGAACTTAAAAATTATATATGTAATTATAACAATATATGCTTAGTGTCGGATGCCAACGCCTTATGACGGCTGGATAATGAACTAATCGAAACCTGATTATATTTTGTTTACAGTATCTATAAACGAGAATCGTGTAAATCTTTCTAATGAAAATTTCATGCAAATTTCGTGTGACGATTTGTATTATTGTTTAAGTTAATATTATTAAACTTAGTGTAATCTAATTCCATACAATTGTAACATAAAAAATTAAAAAATCACATGTGATTCATTCAATATATTTTTAACTTATTAACTCGACCTGAAAGCTAACCTAATTTAACCTAATATAAGCCTAATTTCAACAACTGTGTCACACATATTAAAAATATCACGGTAAGAATATCATTGAACATATCTTTCTACAACTCAAAAATTGAAAGCTAATCTTGATCTAATTTAACATAACTTTAATTTCATACCAATGTTATAATAAAGAGAAAAATATTATATACGAGTATCGAACGTATTTTTGCTTATAACCTAACCTAATTCTAAAATTTAATCCAACATAGTTCATAAGATCATAGAAATCGATGAGAAGGATGCTTTCCGTAAATAATTATTCCCTTCCAAAAAATTTATCAAATTTAATAATAAATATAAAATCGTAAAATATCTTTAAAAAAAGATGATGATAACTAAATTCCACTACGTAATGGCAAAGGATAAAATTCGGTACAGAGGAAACGGATGATATCATCAATTATACATAGCAGTTTCTCGCATTGTGTTAAAGTTCGCCGCGTATTCGTGCATCGTGCAAACGATTCACCTTGCTTTACGAGCCGCATTGTTCCCGAAACGTCGAGTGTAACCTAGAAAAAAGTGACGCATACTTTTTATATGGCCGTCTAAACGCGTTTATCCTATCCGCAGTCCCTGATACACATCCAGTATATCAGGCTATCTGAGAATCGTGGCTAACTTTAGTAAGGATGAGCAGTGGATGAACAAACGGAAAAGAGAGAGAGAGAAAAAAATCCTGATAATACACTCGTTCAATGATCGTTACGGTTATTTAATATTCAATAAGGAATTGTTTAATACTCGATTGGTTTTCATGGTTCTGCAACTGTCTTTCGTCGATTACATTCATTGCCATTCTTCCTGCTCTTTTTTCTTCTTCTTTCTTTAATGCTTGTCTAACGCATTTTAACGAGGAAACAAGAAGTAAAGATTTAAATTGAATTGAGACGTGATAAAGGTTCGATGAGATTGGAATAATTTTTTTTTCTTTCGTAAAGAATGCGTATGGAGTGGTTTGTTGCACTTTTTTTTTTTCAATAAACTGGCTGCAATTACATCACGGAAAGTAACGGATCGTAAAAATGCACTTAATAAAAGTGTCGGTCTTGTTGCTTTTTTGAAATAAACGCTTTGTGATTGTTGTTACGAAAAAATATTGAATAGAAATATTATTTGGAGACATTTACCTTTTCCAATGAATTTTCTTTCTTTAACGATCGGTAATTTACTTTCAATCGTGATTGTAATTGTGAATTTTATCGAAAATACAATCAATTTTTTTCTGCATATTTTGATGTAATAAGAAACAGTTCAAATTTTCCCGCGTAATAATAATTCTTTATCTGGAAAGATATTCGACGAGAATTGCGCAAAATATCGTTTAGTTACCTTTTTACGAGAACACGTTTATTATACTCTATGGTTATACCATATACCATACCGTTATCCCTCTTATGTCACTTCATTTTCCGTGACCGTGATGTTTCTATAGAAACCTCATTTCACATATTTTTCCCTCTCTGTATTGTCATAGAAAATGCTGTGTAAAACAAAAATTTTTCCCCTCCACCACATACGTAGGCGTCCACGTGACCTGGAATTAAATAAAACATCGGTTTTCCAACCGAGGACAAGAGGAGGCGAAACCGCGAAGGCGTTACAGGAGGAAATTGAAACTGCAACCGGTATTAACGTAGTCTCGTGTTATATCGAGGATAGACAATATCGAAACGGACTTCCTTAACCAAAGCCTCGATACAGCCGTATCGAAACATGCAACTTTAATAAAAATAACGCGATATCCTCGATTCGTGACATATTCCTTTATTACGTGCCTCGAAAACTAGTTCAATCGAGCGGAAATAGAAAATGAGAATATAATACGGGTGAAAGATTTTTTTTTTCTTCTTATCTTACGATCTTGCTATTTTTCGTGTTTTCTTATTTCTGAAAAAGTTTGAAAAGTTTCGTTCTAATTGTAACACGCAAAACTGTATTTTCGAATTTAGACCTCGAATTTAACGCGAAATTGCGAGATTGGTTATGATATTGTGGAAGATAATGAAGAAAATTCTATTTTGTATTTGTAATATGACATTTGGTGTATATCAATTATTCAGTCTCATGATTTATCGATACAAACATCTTATAAAAATGTTGTAAATTATGTATTGATATTTGCATTGCATCATTTTATCATTTCTCTTTGTGCCAGAAACACAAATATGATATTTAAAAATATTATTCCAATTCCATAAGAAAATTAAGCTAAAAAAAAAAAAAAAATAGCGCTCTTTTTTATTTTCATATTATACTTACTAATCATTCTCCATGCTTTTTATCTTTTCGAAATGAATGATGCAACAAATAGATAAGAATCGAATTACATGATCGAACATCAAGAGATCGACAGTTCTCATCAAAAGTTACAAGATCAAAAACAGGTTAGAAAGAAAAAAAAAAATTCTTTCATCACTTCTCACACGATCCACTTGTAATTCTAGAACATTCTGTAGATAAGATTTCTATCTTTGGGAAGTAATTCCTTCTTTCACAACTTTCTTTCTCCTACTTTTCATTTCTTTCTTTCTTTCTTTGTTTCTTTCTTTCTTTTTTTGTCTATGGCGTACTCTGTGCGTTCAGAGGAACGGTCGTTTGATCTATTTTCGAGAGATCGATACAAGCGTCTCTTTCGACCATGCTCTCGACACGCAAGAGGCAATAATAATGGCGCGAGTCACAATAGTGAAGGACTTTGAACGACAAAAAACAATGGTTGCGTGTTATTTAAGAGGTCTTCAGATAACCGGTTAAAATCGATCGAAACGACAATTAGTAACGATACACCACATTTATTTTACAGCATTTCGAAAATGGCACGACAATCAAATTAAAGAACTTACGTTTCGAGGCGTCCGGCTCGTATCACTGTCTGGTTACGATGACGACTCCTATTTATACCGAACACTCGGAAAGCGTCGTAATGAAAGTTATAGGTAAGTCGTATTCTGTATTATATGTATTAATGAATTGAATGTATTTATATGTAATTATGTATTTATGTATTTATTCATTTATGTAATTATGTATTTATATATATTATATATATTTAATATGAAAAAGTTTGGTGGTAAGTAGTTGGTCATACCATCGGTAGGTAATGTCGCCTTGAAAATTTAATTGTGAAGAATTGTTTCTTATATATTTTTGATAATTGAATCATCATAATTATAATTTATTATGAAAATTGAATAAACAATATGCAATTTTGATAATTTTTCATTCAATTATGAAAACATTTGACCATATCAATATATTAAATTTATTTATATTTTTTTAACCTGATACATCGTATCATTATCTTGTTATTTTTATTTCAAAATTGTTTAAGTTTTCTACTTGGAAGAATAAGAAATTCGTTCGAAAAGAAATTAAAGAATTTTGTCTCAATTATAAAAAATTATAAATAATAATAAATAAATTAGAAATATCAAGTAAAATATTAAAATTATTCTTTTAAAATGACATTGCTTATGGGATAATCTGATATTTTGTCTGAATAGATTGAGTCTCGTTTACTGGAAGACACCTGTCGAACGATTCTATTAACATGTTTCAGCATTGATAGAGTTTCCATTAAGCGTGATGCGATGACAACGATACACTATAATATAAAACGTTTTCTATATTGCACAATTTTATATTTTAAATTATAATGAGAAATTTTATACTCTATTAATTTTTTTTTTTTTATAGAACGAAAATTTATTTTTTGCAAAAAAAAAAAGAGAGAAAAAAGCATATTGCAATAGAAAGTTTTGCGATAAATTGGAATTTAAATGCATTGCTAAAAAGTTCTTTTGTTAGAATAAACTTTTATTCAATTCCTGCGATTTACTAACTTTGTGCTGTGAATTAATCTTTCAGAGAATTTATGCAGAATTTATCTACTCTATTTTTTCTCTAAATTATTGAAATCATTGCAGTCTTCCAGATCTCAAAAGATAGCACGCTGAAACTGAAAGGTTAAGGATCCAAAAATATCTGGCTTTATGTATTATTTGCCTTGCTTTAGACATAACGACGTCATAGACATGCAGATATCATCTCTTAGTTGACGTGCATTATCTCATTATTTATTTTTCTTTGACAAATAATCCAATTTATTCTATTCCAGGTCAAGATAATAAGCAAATAAACATTACATGCATGAAATGGATAGTGTACAATTTTTTATTGCAACATTTGTGTATAGAATGTTTATATGTTCATGGAACATCTTTGAATTCATTCTAAAAAAAACTAAAATGAATATAAAAGTTGATATATAAAAATGTCGGTTAAGGTTTGTTTATTAAGTTATATATAATTGAATAGAATGCTTACATATAACTCTATCTTTGTCGTACTGTCCTATATATCTGTCTTGCTTCATTTAACGCGAGCTTAAATTGCATATAATTTGATAAATAAGCCTTAACCGACATTTTTGAATATCAACTTTTGTATTTGTTTCGACTATAATCTTTAAAATTTTAATATTTCATCCTCCATCATGTTCCACGAATATATCAACAGTTAATATATATATATAAACGATCGAGTATGTAATAATAAACACTTTTGATTGAATAACTGAAAATACTAGTTTATTCATATAATTAAAAAATAATTGTTAATAAGGATTAATTAATTAATCGATAAAATTGATTATGATAAACAAAAGGTACGTGATGTATTTGTATGTATATAACCAAGATAGAGACAGTTGGCAAAGACAGTTTTCTCATTCTATGCTGGAAAATTACTTATTTAATGTACACTTTTTACGTAAGGACAAAGGAAAATGTTACATAAAGTTATAGAAGTTTACACAACAATTTTCTTCTTATTTTTATAATGTAAAGAATACGCCATGGCAATTTGTCGTCAAAAAACTGGGACACCTTTCATATTCAAATTAAAACTCGATATAAGTTATTAAAGAAGATACAGAAGTTTAGAAAATTCCAATATCCTTCACTTGTGTTTTATACAGAAGTCAATATTATAGTATGCATCTTGAAAAGTGACATAGATAAAAAATTACTATGAAATAACTTTGAAACGATTTTTAAAAAATACGTAAAAATTTCATAATAAAAATGGAAATTCACTTATTTACCTAGAATTTCACTGGTGAAAAATATAATGCTTCCTTTGTTTTAATGATGCAACAAGTATAAGTTATCCACCAGATGTATAATATGTAAGTTGCGAAATTAATTTAATTTTAAATATTCTTTAAAGTTGAAAAGAAAATTTAAAGATGCAATTTGAATCCATCTTCCAGATAATTTTCTTCTAATTCATCTCCTACCAATTTTTGTTTTTTTTCTGTTCACTTATTACTTGTCTTATACTGTTCAGAAAACAAAAGATTATGAAAACAGTTTAATAATTTCTTTCTGATAAAGATTTTTTATACATATACAAGATTAATAAAATTGCAAAAGCAATATCAAATATAAAAATTATTTATTTTTAATAATTTTATTCATGTTTCGTTTGAAAATGATAGGATTTTGGGAAATTATATAATAAAAGAACATTTTCTTATCAGTTATTCTTAATTCTTAATTTAAATGTAAAAAGAATTAGAATATTAAAATTGTACATTGTGATTAGTTTATTTAGATTAGGTTAGGTTAGAATAAAAAGAGTTAAAATGTTGAAATACATTTATTCTATAATCATAATATTATAAATTTTCAGAATTTTTAGATTTTTTATGAAATATAAATAATAATGTAATTTAGATAAATAATATGACAAGGTGAAATTTTGTCAAATAATTGGCCTTGACAATTATAAAAAATATTAAAAGAAAATGTAAAAGTTGAATTTTGAAATATATAAATATATAACGCATTAAAGAAGTTTCTTTGCAATATAGTTATATTTTAACAAGTAACACAGAAAGTTTTTGAAAAATTGAAAAAGTTACGAAACGCGTAAAAACACTTTTGAACTTCTAATTAAAAAAATTCTTATCTTGTAAGAGATAAAAACACATTGGTTAAAAAGAATATCAAAAAATTTATATAATGTGTGTATGTATTTAAATCGATGTTGAAATTAAATTAAATAAATTAAAATAAAAAGATTAAATGAATAAAAAAAGAAATGAAATGAAATGAATTTGTCTGTAATGAAACGATCATATTCTTAAATCATTAAAATTTATATTATTAAAATCTTTTATTTTTTTTACTGTAATAAAATATTTAATAGTTTATATTTTATTATTGCAAGAAATGGTGAATTTTATTTTTGTTAAAACTTGGACTATTTTAAATATTTGAATTCATGAATTTTAAAGCGAAAAAAATAAATAACATAATTATACGCAAATATTATATACGCTTGTATTATAAACGCATAAAATGAGGTTGACATAAGTAGACTTCATTGAGTACCATTCTATCTTTTCAATTTTTATTTCACTATAATTAGATTGCGAATTTTTATTATTATATTTTCTGTATATTGAATTTGTTGAATCAAACTTTAATTGATATCAATTTTTGAAAACTATAACCGTTAAAAACCTTATTAAAAATTCATTTCACGTAATCTAACATTTTTCTCATTTATAATAAAAAATATAATATATGTATATGAAGAATTTACATAATTTCCAATTTAATTATAATGAACATATGTTTGTTCAACAACAAGATAACAATTATATGTTATCTATCTTCTATAGCTTTTCAATTAACAAATGCTTAACAATTTTATTATAAAAATAAACGAAAAATATTTTATCTACCATTAATACTTTTATTAACATAAGATGCTAAATAGAAAACTCGAAAGATAAAAGATGCAAACACTTGGGAGGGGAGGTTCATCCTTGCATCAATCGATCGGCTAATTATGCAATCGTTTCACTTATACCGTGAAATATAATCGCGATAGGACACGACCTCTTTGCAATTATAATATGCTACCGAGGCATAAAAATTGTTATATGACTTTTATAGGTATAAATCGTTGATGATTGCATACAGAGTACACAGTTGACTGATTTAAAAACAACTGCGGAAAGGAGAATACATTTGCAAGCATAATTTGCGAAGAATAATTGCAAGATGTGAAATTTGTTTTCTCTTCGTTTCGTTAAAAAATCAAATCAAAAAATCAAATTGGTCAAAGATTATATTACATTAAGTTCATATTTTTCTATTACACTGCAATAACTAGTAAACAATTAAATTAGATTAAATTAGATTTGTATTTTTACATAGCATTGCAATAATTACTGAACTATTAGATTAAGTTAGGTTAAATTTATATTTTTCTATTGCATTATTGTAATAATCGCTGAATTGTTCTTCACATATATAGAATTATATATATTCTATAATTCTCAAGGATAATTCTATTCTAATTGGTATTGTTGTGAAATTGTGTACAGTACCACAGACTGAAAATCCGAAAATTACGTTCAAGAAAAACTCGTACGTCGTAGGCGAAAATTTAGAGGCGAATTGCACTTCCTCGGCTGCACATCCAGTTCCTCATTTGACTTGGTATATAAACGGGAAGGAGGTAAGTAAATATATTATATTAAATCACAGGCATACTTGTGTTCAATAAATCTCGATGAGATGAATTCATTTTTCACTTGCAATATCATTCTTTTAGTTATGATAGTCTACATAATCTTTTCGATTACATTTTTCGATTCTTACGATTAATTGATTGATATTTAGAAACGATTAACTATTAACAGTACGATAACTTTGAGATTAAATAAAAAATTATTTAATCTCAAACATCAACTTATAGCTATTTATGTTCGATAATATGAGAAAATTTTCCTATTGTTTTTGATTTTTCTTTAATATTAACATTTTGTTTCGATTCTGATTCGTAGATGAAGGATATTTCTTATATGAAATTATAAGTTAAACACTTAAATATTAGAAATAAAAAAGAATACGTATTATTTTGTGAAAATTTTATTATGAATAACTTCAATATAGCATCGACTGTAGCATCGACATTCGTCCGTAAAGCATTAATTCGTTAAAACTAACCTAATTCTTATGTCACGCGAGAAATTTTTTATAAAAATTGTAACCAAACATCACAATGTTTTTTACCTGTTATATTAGGTGGATATCAGTCTGGTAAATCACTATCCTCACACACATCACAAAAACCAACTGATGTCCGCTACTGCGAAACTGGTGATAGAGGTTTCCGCGTTGCACACAGGAAAAAACGGTAATCTGGAAATAAGCTGTCATTCGACCATCCCAGATTACGCAGTGCAGTATGCCGATATAAAGAAGGAATCGGTCACGGGTAATTATTCGATTCGATTTTATAAAATAATTTTTATTCTTATTTCAATTCTCCATTTCTTTTTTTCCATTTCTTCGTGAGAACGAATTAAAATTGCAAACTCACTTTGCAGATCGAGTTATCTTTCATAAATTTTATTTTTACATAATTTTTCAATCTCCGTTAATTGATTTTACAGATCTAATTTTGGTAAAATTGTTCTAGGAACGTTTGATATTCAAATTAGATTCATGCACACACTCTCGATATTTACAGTAATTTTTTGCGGTAATTAAATACGATTGAATTTCAATGTTTTTAAAAAATAACGTTTTTCCGAACTCTTCACATGATCATCGTGTATGATATATTTTCAAGGTTCAATTTTTACATATACAATTTTTCTCTCTCATAAATATCTGCAAACACTGTATTTCATAAATCAAATTTTTTCACCGTATATCAGTTACCGAACACTCATTTTTAGTGAGCTTCCCAATCAGATTTTCGAATTCTATTCAGCTCGTATGCACACTGCTTATTTATTTGCAATATTTTCTTTTTTTTTAACACGTTCCGTAAAAATTGGCTTGGTTTAAAAACGAAATTTGCTTTTCAAATAGAAATTCATATTTTCTAGATGGGAATCAATACACACAAGTATTAAGGCCGATTTACAAATGAGGAAGGGGAACTGTACACGCGAACAATTTCTCATTCACTTTTTCCATTAAAAAAGCATTTCTCTACTTTAATCTTATAGTCGTGAGATTTTCATCTCAAATACCTTTTCCATGGTTCATGTAAGGCATACTAATGAATGAGATGCGTAACCTCAAAAGTAGGCGTTCTAATTAACTCGTTTGAAGCCCTATTGCATCACAGGAAAAAACGTCCAATTAGAAATAGCAATTGCGAAAGTTATCCATGGCTTCTTCAATGCTATCTGGCTGCATCTAATCTCTAGGAATATTTTTTCATTTCTACTTCTATTTGATTTTATAATAATAATAATATGTTACATTTTGTGCAATTATTTTAATTATTTAATGTGTTAAAAATATCACGAGCAATATAAATTAATCTTATAATTTGTAAGGAATTTATCTTATCTATCTATCTAGGGAAATAGAGAAAAATATCATACGATAAATACTAGTGATTTTTAAAAATTTTCATTAGTTTATTTTCCAATAAATTACTTATTTAAAAGTATTTTTTAGAATAATAGTTATAAATAATGAATTTTTTTATTTGTAATATCGTATATTGAAAAAATATATTTAAAAATTATTTATATTTTTCTCCATAAAATATGTCAGGGAATAGTTTACGTTGTCCATTGAAAAAAAATTAATTTTTAGAATTTTTCCTATCATGTAATATAGCAAAATATTAAAAAAACTTTAAATTTATTTCTTAATATTTTAAATCGTAATATTATTGCACTGCAATAATCACCATAAATCATTTCATTTGTATTATTTCATATTCGATTTTAAATTCCACAATTAAATAAATCTTTATATATCTCATATTTTCGAGTTTCGCGTTTCTAACGTTAGATCTACTTTTTATTCATTGTTTCAGTGAAAATTATGTCGATGGTCGAATCCTCAGCACCAAATATCGCATGGGGATGGCCCCTAGCTACGTTACTGTGCATACTCTGCGCGATGCACAAGATCATTCCTTAATAAAAGTCAATTGCTATAGGATAATTAAACGAAAGAAAAAAAAAGAAACTAAAGAAAGAAGAAAAAATAACAGGAAAAAAAAAAAGAAAAAAAAAGATGTGTAATATACGTAAACGAGAAGAGTATAAATACAAGTGGAAAAAAAAAGGGAGAACTTGTGGGAAGGGGGGAATATATATTATATACATACATATATATATATATATATATTAATGAACGAACAATCACAATGTCTTCCTTGATTATACCGAAATACACGGGGGCAGCGATTTTATTGTCTTGCAGAAATTTTATAAACTCATATAGACGCGGCTTCTTCGTGCAACTATTTTCGATTGTCGCTTGTATCGATCGTTATCTATTTCGCGAAAATATTGTCGAATCCCGAGGGAGAATTTCGTTCGTTTTTCTGGTCATTTCAACTCGTACAAGTTCGGGAGAATATGACCATCGAAACGGTAATAGAAGAAAAAAAGTAAAACAAAAAAAAAAATAAATAAAAAGAGAAAAAAGATATCGTAGTAAATAGTAATTCGCCGGTTAACAGTGATTTTTTTCTAAAAAGGAAAATACAAAAAAAAAAAAATACATAGGCTATACACACGGGCGCATTTTTCTTCATTTTCTAATATCGACCATAAGATTAACTCGTTTACTATTGTTCTATATTTCTATACTTACTGGATTTCAAATCTTTTAAATACGTTGACACTGTATCGTATAGAATACTTTATTCGCTCGTACTCGAGGAGAATTTATTATATTCGTGAAAATATATATATATATGAAGTACCGTTTTTATTCATAGTTTAAAGAATTATATATCTATCGCTATTTAGTATATACATACTTATCGATATTGGTAATTGTGTGATGCCAGAGACCTCTAGGTGATTTCAAAGAGATCTCGAGTATTTCAAAGGACACATATGTTCATTCGATAGGTGTATTATAATGATCGGTGAGACGGTGTAATGAATGTCAATTCGCAAATCGAATTTCTTGTTCGAAATTAAGAAGTGTAAACATATAGGTATTGTTTCAAATGAATATTAATCTTATCTTTTGTTTATTAGATGTGTAAATAAATTCACTGTTATGAATCGTGTAGTAATATTGAATTATTCATTACAAAATAATTTTTACTATTCAAAAATATTTGAATTTGAAATAGAAAAGAAGTAAATGTGAAAGATATTAAATTGATTTACACATCTAATAAATATATAAAGTTTAAATTGATTTTTATTTCGAAAAATAAAAAAGAATTTAATAGGAAGAAATGAGAATTGAATATCTTTACTGTATTATTACGCAGTATAAGGTTATGTTTACTTACTACTTTCCAATTGCTTTTTTTACGATACGCATAATCAATTATGAATATTATAATCGATTATTTGATGTTTTTACATTTCTAGTTCTAGTATAATCTAATTATTGATCATAATGCTAATTTATGAAAGTAAGAACGAAGAATATATTTCATATACATATTATCGTATAAAAAAGATATTATGATAAGTTAAATAGATATGATACATACGAGCTTTGTACACGTGCGCATGTGAACGTTTTGTTTTTAAATATCTTAAATAGATATTTATATATAAAAGAATTATATATATATACATATATATATATATATATATTATATATATACATATATGCGTGTTGTGTGCTAGCAAACGCAAAAATTATAGTCCGAAACTGGCAAATCCTATTGACAAATCAGAAATTAAGACTGTTGTACCTTGTTATCGGTATAATGATATATATAATTACATCATAATGTTATTCGTTTATTTTTCTATCATTATTTTTTACTTAAATCACTTCATGTTCTCTCATGTTTCATAATAAGCAAAAAAATATCTTTTATATTTAATAAAAGTATCTTTATATATTAATATAAAGATAATTTTATCTTTTAAAAATATTTTTCAATATAATAATTATGTTTCATTTTCATGGAACTTACTATAAATCAATGTAAAATCAATTAAATATATGTTAAAATAATTGTTCAGTTATATCGTGCAATAAAATTGTACAGGATCAATACAAATTCATGTATAAATTTAATTTACATTATGCTGAAAAAATATAATATACCAAAATACTGTTCCTTATGTCTTTATAGATAATATTTATATACAATGATATATAAATTTGCATGTATATCCATTTTCATATGATTTTTTTTTTTATTATTCATATATATTTACAATGTATAATTTTTATCGAGGAATAAATTTTTCATTTATCCTGATAAATACGAGATTAAAAAAATTCCAATATTCTCGAAATAAAATTTAATATTATCGATAATTTTCTCGATTATATCGTACCAGAAATGTATCTATATAAATTTCCTCAATATATCTATTTAAAACTCTTAGTTTCGCTTTCACTTCTACGCAGTTTTATTGCACGTTGTAATCAATCGTCTATAACCGATTAGGTAAAATGTAATAGCACACGTAGGTTCTGTCCCTTAAGAGCGTGATATGATAAAAGTTCTATTTTTAATCGAAAAAGGGAAAAAAAAAGCGAAAGAAAGAAAGAAAAAGTTATCCCCTTCAAAGGGGATAAGTCTGGCTATTTTGTCACCGCGAGCATGCATTTTATACACGCCTATAAATGTCTATATATCATGTAGAAAAACAACAAGGTGTAATTATAGATATTTCCTTGCCTACGCACTATCGAGTCTGCATTGTCGATCAATAAATCTGTATACGACGGTTTTCCGGGACATCCCACGTGTGCACGATTCTAAAATGCTTCCGTTCCCCTTTTTGTCTTCTCTTCTCTTTTTATTTTTCAGTTTAACATATTTTGTGCAAGGAAAGAACGAGAAGAGGAGTGAAAGTGATACATATATACATATACGTATAATAGAGAGAGAGAGAGAGAGAGAGCGAGCGACTAGTGCAAATGAGTGAGAAAGAAAGAGCATTATATCCATAATGGTAAGAGTGTTCTTTAGCAGGTGATATTTTCATCATATCATGCAACATATCGTAGCGTTATAAATTAATGTAAAGAGTTAATCTTTTCGAGCCTCACGGCTACTTAATTGTTTCAAGAGATGCACGATAATAGATGCAGCACAATATCAATATAATGGAGACGAATGCGACCCACCTAGTCATATACAGAGTGAATCGAAAAGAAGGTCTAACTTTAAATGAAGATACCTTGGCTCGATGACAATGCATCTGGCACCTGATTTAAGTAGTTTTGAAGGGAATGATAATAATAAGATATATTCAAACTTTTTCTTTTTTCATTTTTAGAGATATTTTGGATAGTTTTCTTTTTTAAAGTTGAAATTGTTGATATCTATGATAATGTACCTTTTTAGAATTGATTAATTTTCTTTTTTGCAATTCAATGTAAGGAATATTAAATTGTCAGGAAATAAATTGTGGTGTATAATTTAATACTATATTTATTTATTTTTGTACATAATAATTATATCTTTGTTTCATATCTTCAAGCATCTGAAATAAGATTTTTAAAATGATGATAAATGAAATATTTATATTTCGTTAGAAAAAGAATATAAATAGTAAATGATTTTTATTTTGTTTGATTAATTTTATTTAAAATTAATTTCATTTTAAGCTCTAACAATTTTAAATATTTTTTGCGCAAAAAACCGCAATTAATTTTCGGGCAAATCGATATAATTTGTAAAATTTAATGATATCAGAGAAATATTTACTATAAAAGATAAATATATTCATTTATTAAAAAATATCACAAAAAATTTAAAATAGATCAAAATTAATTAATTTCAGATCTTGTAAACAAGCATACGTACAATGGAAACAAAAATTTTTATAATTTAATCCTTGAAATAATTAAAATCGTATCACCCTATGGATACCGTTCTGGATACCGCAAAATAGAAGACAAAAGATAGCTCGAATCATGAAAAAAAAGTAGCGAATTTACGCCGGTAACACCGGCGGTATTGTAGACAAATGATCAAGATGTTGTTATTGTTCACATTGATGTGTTATTTTCAAGCGCTTATTGTTATTACAAATGAGGTTCCATCGAGGGATAATGAAACGATCCATTCGAAGAAAGTAGCCGTGAGGATAGTCGGCGGAGAAATCACTGACATAAAAAAGTATCCGTTTATCGTATGTAAAATGCGCCCGTGACGTTTCCTAAATATTATCTAAAGCTACGGATACGCGAATCACTCTAATCGTTTCCAAGGAACAAAGATAAAAGAAGTGAAGTTAGCGATACATAGTGTCAAGACAATGTCAATTTACCAATTAATCAATTTACCAATTAATTAACCTTACATAATAACCTCACATACGCCTCAATAATAGTAAGAAATATAATTCCTCATAAATTTACTTTACTAGAATTTCGTAGAGAATAGCGAAAAATATCTAAAGTGTTTCCTATGAATGGAATTGATCAAAATAAAAAGGAGGCATGGCAATACATCATGAAATATACAGGATAAAAATAATAATAAGAATTAAGTAATTTAAGAGTATGTATTAAATATCTATTTGAAAAGAAATTAGTTTAGATATATTTATCTAGAGTAAAGTATTTATCTAAATAAATATATTTAGACTAAAATCTGATTTATTTAACTTTAAGAATAATTTGATGATAATAATTTCTGAAAAATTTTTTAAGGTTAAAAAGAAATCTAAAATATAATAAAGATTGTTATTTATACTATTGGGTATTAATTATTTGTCAAGATTTCATTGTACATTTGTTCACAAAATATTTTGCATCTTTAATCGTAAAATTGAATGAAAATTAATTTTTTACATATTTAAAGTTAATGAATATAACTCACCTAAATTTAATTAACTATTTCTCACATATAACACAAATTATTTGATTAATTCTGAAAATATTCATATACATTGCCGTAATAAATTGGAAACGATTAAAGTGTTTCACGTGAAGATCTTACTTGTATCGATAAGATGTAGGGATTCGCTGATGACGAAACCGAATTTTTAATGTCAATTTCTCGTAGGTCTCGGTACAACGGCGACACTTGAGTCATATCTGCGGAGGTACTTACGTAGCACCAAAATTCATTTTGTCAGCCGCTCATTGCATGGTCAGGTGCGTTCTAAGACTGCGACATTTTACAGTCTATCGCTCTTAACCCTAAAATGGTAGCAGAGTATTGACAATGTATACTGGATCTTGTGACCAACCGATTAGCGAAAAAATACTAGTGAAATGTTCGATAGTTTGTTAATGGTAATTCGACATTGAATTCTCATTGGTGTTTGGATAAATACGATAAACACGTATTGTGGTTGTGGAATTCAGGCGATCAATATATTTTATTAATATTTCAAGATTTTTAACATTTTTTAACAAATGTTCAGTAATATTATATTAACAATATGTATTGATTTTTATGTAATGTTGAGAAATTTGAAATATTGATATGTTAATTGTCTTTTAATTATTTTGAGAAATATTTTACATAAATTTTTGGAAATAATTGAACGATTAATTTTACATCATTTGATCAATTATAGGAAAAGTATTAAAGGAATTGTGAATAGT